CTATTCAACATTGCTTGATCATCAACACACTTCCTGCCCGAGATGGTCTAAAGAACGTCGGATCTAATGTTTAAATTATAATAATTATATATATATATATATATATATATATATATATATATATATATATATATATATATATATGAACAATAAGAAAAAATTAAAATCTTTGGACACACTGGGTTGTAGATTAATATTCTTTGTTTTTTTTTATTATTATTCCATTTAGATTCCTCGACTAGTTTCGACCGAAATGGCCATCATCGGGAGAAGAAATATTTCTGCTTGCTGGTAGCAGAAAGGCTTAAACACTAATATTCCATGGTCATAATTTATTCCATTGGAATCGTAAATACGATCCAATTCATCAGACCTACAAATTCAAAAAGAAAACAGAAAAAACAACTCCGGGAATAAAAAATAAAATTTAGTGAGAGTGTATGTATGAGAGTGTGGAACGAATGTTAGAGCTATAGAGAGGGGTAACAGACGAGAGAAGAACAGGAGAAAAGCAGGAAGGTCTAAAGATGAAGGTGGGGGATTAAAATTTAACAGAGAGAAGTTTTAAAGAGGGGAGTCAAAGACGGTTTAAGTGAGAGAAATATGAATGTTCTCGGATGTCTAATACATTAAAGATGTAACCGGAAAAGATACATGTTGTGGTCACATACACAGACAATAGACGATCTAATCTTAAAGATCAGAAGATGAGCGAGGGAGAGGAAAAGAAAAGAAAAAAGGGGTGGGGGAGAGAGATGGGGCGGGGGAAATAAAACCGAAGGGCATTTATAAAAGGGCCGCTGTGTAATTAAGAAAATTTGACAAAATTAATATCGACTACAGGTTACAAATCAAATATAAACATATAAAAAACAAATATAACGATTATCTAATCTAGTAAGGACCTATATAACTATGTTCAAAAACACATGTGTATACACACATACACAACAACATATTTATATTTACACGTACATACATACATATAGGCGTGTACACACATACACATACATATACCCATGTACATATATACATATATATATTCATATACATATATATATATATATATATATATATATATATATATATATATATATATATATATATATATATATATATATATATATATATATATATATATATAAACACACACACATGCATACATATACACATACATCTATACACATCCACCCCTACATATATATACATTTACACACATATATACATACGGACATACACATACGTGCACATAAACATATATACATAAAACCTTACATCTCCATACAATTACATACACCCATCTAAACAAATAAACAATGTATCCCTTTATCTATCCGTCTAACTATACATACATACATACATACATATACACCCATATACAGATATATATGAATACATACATACCAAAACATACACACACACATCTAAACACATCTACATACACATCTACCTACATATACATACATCCATATACGCATACATATATATGCACATATATACAAAGACACACACACACACACACACACACACACACACACACATATATATATATATATATATATATATATATATATATATATATATATATATATATATACATACATATATATATATAGACACTCCTACATCAGCTTACATGAGATAATTAGGGCCTTCAAATACCTAGGCCTTAAAATATCGTCTTAATAGTCAACTTTTTGGATATTACACTCAACCTATCGAATGATACCTTTAAACCCTTCCATAAAGTTGATCAAACACCCCGATACATCAACATCCACTCTAACCATCTCCTTAGAAAAAATAATAATAAACATAAACGAAGTAAAAATCATTAATCAATATTATTTGACCCGGAAGACGTGTGGCTAAAGAAAGAATGAACGTTCGACGTTACAATGGTTCAGTAAAATATGAGCTTATAGTTATTCATTCATTAGATGTACTAAACAAAATAATCAATAAAAATGATATAGGCATGTACAGGGACGACGGTCTCATAAAAATAAACCCAAAAGAAGAAAATCATATATCTACCATATAGAAAACCCAATGACAAATCACTTTACTTACATCCTCCTTTAACTTTCGGAAAAAAGGTAACAATTTGTTTTTAAATTTCCTTAAAAATCATTTAATCACGATTTGCTTACCATCGCCTGAAGAATTACAATCAAAGTATCGAAACATGAAAGATTTTGTGTAGAAATTTAAAAATGTTAACATCTCTTATAAATGTAAAATACAATAATAATATATTTCTCTGCTTTGTATTGAGCACTTTTTTAAAAAAGTAAATGCTACGAACTGTCGATTTTTACTCTATTTGTTCTTTTTTTTAATATATATATATATATATATATATATATATATATATATAAAGAAAAGAACAAATAAATAAAAAAGTGCTCAATACAAAAGTAGAGAAATATATATATAAATATATTGTTGTAGATATATATATATATATATATATATATATATATATATATATATATATATATATATATCGGTAACAAAGATGATGTGAAGCCAGAAATGCTGTCAAGAAAATACTGAAAGAAAGGACATTTAAAGCAAGCAGTTTTTGCAATAAAGTGCTCGATATCAGAGAGAGCCTTAATAGGATTAATAAAAATATAACATTTTTCACTTAGTTGATTGATGTTCTATTAGACGAACCTTTGTATAATCGTTCGGTCCACAGAAACGTTCGTCTACGAAACTCTGGAGTAGAGGTGATGAATCAATCAGCTAAGTGACAAATTTTATATTTATATTAATCCTATATAATTTAATATTCAAAATAATTTCAGCTCTAAATTTAAATCATATTGATTTGATGCACTTACTTTCACTAAAATTACCGACTCCAGTGTTTTCATACCAAAATCGATCCCCATTTTTGAGTTGTTGAAATTGCCTTCCGATAATACAGGCAAAGGTGGGACCGACTTTTGCTCCTGGGAGCGGAGTTTCCATCACGCCAGCTGTCACCAAGTCCAAATCATATACACTCCTGGAATATTGAAGAATTTCTTTAAGACTGAGACGAATATTGTCCAGAAAATTTGATCAGTTAAGTGTCATAAATATTTTGAAATATAATTAACATTTTTATTTTCTTTCATTTAATTTAAAAAAAATATTGGGTTAATTTGCAGTATAAGCACCAAAAGCCCCCGGTAATGAGAAGACTGATGTGGTGAGAAATAGCGGTTAAAAAAATGAAAGTCTAACGTCGTCTTCTAACTACAATATTTGGTTACTTTGCAATATAAGCACTAAAACCCCCCGGTATTGAGAATTTACCATTCTGGTGTGAAATTGCCTGATTATTTAAAAAATGACATTAAAACTTTGAGCTCGATTACCGTTTACAATTTATCGTCAATGTAAGTTCGATTTCTTTCGCGTTGTCTGGCCGCCATTACTGGCGTTGTTTACATACGTTTTCCTCGAGTAATAAATCGCGGAAGCTTACTTAGTTAACGGACTTTTTATAGTTTTTCGTATCTTACCCGTCTTGATTACTCGCAATTTTCGTAGATGTTATTTTAAAATGCGCATTTTTAAATCAAGTTTTAAATGAATACTTTCTTCTTTTATTATTAAATTGGTTTAAATTTGTTATAGAAACAATTGAAAGCTTTTCGAAATAAATATAATGTCATGGTTAAACCCTTTTTCCAAAAATATTCTTATGAAGCTTTAAATGAATATTTTTGCGCTATAAATTCCTTTTTTTCTAATTAAAAATATTGTTTCTTTGTGGAACTGAAGCTTTATTAACTAATGAATTCTTTTTTATTATAAAATTAGTCTAAATTTGTTATCGAAACAATTGAAAACTTTTCTAAGTAAATATAATGCCGTAGGTGAACTGTTTATCCAAAAAAAACAAAAAACAAAAAAAAAACAATATTTATAGAACGTGCGTTATTTTTTTTCTAGTAAAAGAACATTGTTTTTGAAATTCTTGCAAAAATCAAGAAAGGACACATTAAAAAAAAAACGTCGTTAAAAAAAGGAAAACAATTCTTTTTTTTTACTTTTCAGGCACCTAACTTATTTTATTTTATTTCAACTGTCGTGTTTTAAGGAAACTATCACGACACAATTAAAAAAAACTCGTTGAAAAAAAAAAGAACTTCATTTTTTTTTATCATTTCAGGCACGTAATTTTGATTTTATTTTTCGTTTTTTCATTTTTACTGATATATTTGGAATCGTGACACTTTTTCCGTTGGGTTATTTTTAAAATTTCGCGCATTCATTTTAAAATTTCGCGCATTCATTTTAAAGTTTGCGTATCGTGCAGTAATTAACACAAGTAAAGCTTCCGCGCATGACTAATCGAGTATGTAAACAAAGCCAGTAATGGCGGTCTACGCGACGAGAAAAAAGTCGAACTTACATTGTCCATCACTTCTAAACGGTAACCGAGCGCAACATTTTAATGTCATTTTCGAAATAACCAGGCAATTTCAAACCAGAATGGTAAATTCTCAATACCGGGCGATTTTAGTGCTTATACTGCAAATTAACCAAATATTATAATTAGATGATGACGTTAGACTTTCAATTTTTTAGCCACTATTTCTCACCACATCAGTCTTCGGAACAATTCTTCTTCGGATCTCTATTTTTTTTCAGCCTTTGTGCAAGGGTAGTCGGAATCGTCCTTAGAATTTCAATCATTATGCACTACGTTCTTTCTTCAAGGTCGACAGTTTTAGAATCTCTCGTTTAAGTTTTCTTCTTTTTTTTTTGTAATGAAGAAGGTTAATAATGACAATTCCAGACTTAGATCTTCTTTACATAACATTTCATTTACTACACTATTTCGTCAGTTACTCCGTGGTAAGCGAGCAGCCTCCGGTGCATCTTGTCCTTTCATTCTGCCTGCAGCGTGTGGGAGACTGCTCGAGGCTGTCGTCCATAAAACTCTCTATCTAACATTCTCGGGAGATAAGTCATTGTACTTCTTATCTGTTTATTTACCACACACGCACACGCACAGAGAGAGAGAGAGAGAGAGAGAGAGAGAGAGAGAGAGAGAGAGAGAGAGAGAGAGAGGGGGGTGCCCCCCTCCTCAAAATTGATGTCATTTTGTAGTCTAATAACAATTCTCGCGCAAATGATCTCAAATTTTAACATAATGTGTAAGTTGACTGCGTGGTCTCAATGAGAGTCTACCAGGAAGATGGATCGGGCGTGCCAGTGATAATGATAATTTGCTGTTTAAATGGCCACCATGTTCACCTGACTTGGCACCTTGTGAGTTTTCTGTGAGCCATGGTCAGGTATATACCCACCTCTTCCTACAAGCTCAGAGGAACTTAAGCAGAGAATCACTGAGGCGCTGGAGAATGCTACGCAAACATGCTACAGCGTGTTTAGCAGGAGTTGGACTACCGACTTGACGTGTGTCGTGTCACAGGCGCTGCGCATATTGAACATTTGCGAAGCTTTGGCAAATCGCTTATAAAATCTATACCCCTTTGAATATCTTGTTCCAGTTTTGATAATTAAATTGTTTATTGTTCAACATGAAGCCTATTTAATATCGTTTGCCTGGGACATGTAGTTACTCAGATATTCGCATTTTAAATGATGTCAATTTTTTTAAACACCCTGTACACGAGAAATTGAAAAATGTCATTTCTTACCATGCATTTTTTCTTTTAAAAATAGGTATAGAGTTGTTAAACTGACTCCCGTGGGGATGTTTTTTTCTGATGACTACAATCTCAGCCTCTTTAAGTCAAGGGTCAATCGTTATCTATCCTCATAATATGCACCCTTACTCCTTCCTTGTACGCCCTTACAATATCCTCACTTTGTAAGTGTTATAGTAATTTACCCACGCATGCATGGACTCTCCCAGCTATAAATAGGAGCAGGTACTGCCTTTTGATGAGGGAAATTTTCAGCAGTGAGCTCTGATAGTCGAACCGAACATTCTTACTGTAACACTCTCGTTTCAATTTCTTGTGTACAAAGGGAACAAAGGGACACGTGGCATTCTCGTTAGTGTCGTCATCCGTAAGTTAAATGTTGTATCCTTCTGTCTAGTCGGCGGTTTTATATCAGATTATACAAGGCCAGTCTTCGAAAGAATCTTGTTATCTCAAGAAATTAAAACACATCGCAAATACACCTTGTTCTCGCAAAAGCAGATTTATCTTTCGGTGCAAAAACCACTTGTTCAGTATGTTAATGTTGTTTTTGTTTCAGTGGATTACCGTGAGGAATTGAGTTTGAAAATATTAGATACTTACACATACATATTTGATAGCTTTCGTTTAGCCTCACTATCATGGAATGGAAGCTGAGAAAAGTCCATGGGTGTTTTGAAACCACAGAGCAATAGCCATGCCAGATAGACAGGTAAGCCGTGGTCACGGCTTCTTTGAATGGTTGTAGCAGCTAGATCAAAGCCTTCACCTGGGACTTTTTCTTTGTACCTGTTTGTTAATTCGTCAGTCACTAATCTGAAAAAGAGAGAAAAAAGTTTTCAGTTACAGATGGTGTTTGGTAGATTTTCGTGGGTGTTCTAATTAAATGAGTTCTAATTAAATGAGTTTTAATTCGCCAGGGAGGTGTAACGAGTATATTGTGATTATATAACTTCCCATGAATCAAAAGAATATATATATAAACTGAAGTTACATCAAAGAAACATAACATCACATATATACTTATATTACGCACTTAAGACAATTTTAAAAGCTATACACACTCTACTAAGAAATAGCAAAATACATGAAACATATCATGTTTAATAATTCTTTTTGATATAAGATAATATCTTATAAAGAAAAATAAAAGAAAAAAATCCTAAACGTGCATTTACCTGTCGAATTTCTGTGATTTTTCTTTTAACATTTCTCCAACGATCGAGTCGACGGCGTTCAAATTCTTGTAGAAAACGCTTGGATTCTGATAGGAAGAACTTAGTTTGTTTGATCTGCCGTTAGCGTTGAATGTTGCCCGGCTCAGTGTAGCTATGGTCATGTCCATGACACTAGTAAAGGCGCCGCGGATAACAGGGTTGGTATGATTGGAATAGTCGTTCTTGTAGCCCGTGGATTTCAAGGTGAGGCCGTAGGTGTTCATAATGTTGGTTCCTAGAATGACCGGCAAGTATTCGTTGTAGACGATATGCTGAAGTTCAGCGATAACAATTTTGCGAGCTTCTTGGAATAACTTTTCATCATTCCAAGTTGGGTTGATGAAGGCTAGCGTTTTAGCAACTCGGTTGTGTTCCCGAGCAAACAACGTGTACAGTGTGATTACAGTGGGCTGGTCGTTCGCTCTACTGTCACCTAGGAAGAAAAAAATGGTTAAAATTAGATTTGAAAACAATTTGAGACTCAAGATAGTGGGCATTTCTACTTCTACCAACGTAACAATGCGATACGCGTTTCTGTAATGGGGTTTAGTAATATCCTGTATTATTGCGGATTTAACGTCAGTCGGAAGGAGGTTGATTCTCATCAGTGGGGCGAAAAATTGCATCTGTAGGATTAAAAAAAATGCGGGCATCAATTACGTAAGGCGTATCTTGCCGATAACTTAGACGGCCCCTAAAAACAAACACAGTATTTAAAAATGTGCTCGCATTGAGTTTTCAATCAGATGTAGAGCCATGCAACTATCATCGTTTTTATTTTAGTACACATTACAGACCTCATGTCATCTGCCATAGAAAGATGGTTAGTGAGAGTAGTGGTTTTGTGGCCGAGTATTTAGAACGTCAACGTTCCGACCACGAGCCTTGTGTTCGAATCTCACTATGGTCGATTTGTTAAAGAGATGACTTCTTGATAGTGATTTTACAAGCGTAGCTTGGATGTAGCACAAGGCCGAAAGTAAGGGGCACCCAGTGAGGATTGAACTCACTACTCAGTCATAATTCTTCTAGCGAGACATGCTTGTTAAACATTACACTGCCTCGAGGTGCCCGAATGACTCCTTGATAATATCGCCCTGGACAGACAATCCAAACATCCAGTAGCGTTAGGAAAATCATACCACGTGTTGACCCAAGCCTTTTAAGGGAAACTGAGTCGATGAAACTGTTTGGAACCAAGTCATCATGACTAAAGGCCTGCACTTTGTTCAATTACTCTCTATATAATGCACTCATAGAAACTGAACAGTAAGATCAGCTCAGTATAGTTGCAGTAGAGTCGTCGTCGGCTTTATCTCGTATCCAAGAATTTAATTTCTTCTTTGTTGATCGCTTCCTTTATGATGAGGTGTTGATGGCTACATCCCCCGCCAACGTGCAGTTTCAGGACTAGAAGCTTCCAGTTTCACTATAACGTGCTCCCGTAATCGATTCCCTATCGCCGTTTGGCTTTGCAAGAGTTGGTTGGAGGTGAAAGAAAATCAGAGTAGAATAAAGCGCCGATGGCGTGAATTTGTTTAAGGTGGACCCCAACTCACAGAAAGTGACCCACACTCTTGATTCCATGACCTTCATCTGCGGCACATATGGAATGAGATATGCAGAATCCAGTTATGAAACAGTAACGGACTGCCACATACACTTATAATTTCGAGAGACACCTTTTTGTAGCATGACCGTCATGTGTAGCCCCCCCCCAACACTTCAGTCACTGGTTCATCCGTTGATATCTGTTGTAATCATCGTTCACTTGTTCCACCGATGAGGTCTTTGGGTTTGGTCGTGCTTAGTCTGGGTCCCTGTCTTCGATATAGCCGCCAAGGGTGGCCCTATCACGAGATTAGAACTCTCGACGGCATCTTTCTCAGACTCAGTGGACCACGCAAGTCCCTCTCACCACGACACGAGTAGATAGAAATAAAATTTAATTTACACTCGTCGGCTTTATCGCTTATCCAAGAATTTAATTTCTTCTTTGCTGATCGCTTTCTTTATGATGATGGCGTTGATAATTGAATTCGACTCCCACGTGCAGGTTCAAGACGAAGCTTTCAATTTCAACAAAATCTGCTCTCGTCATCCATTCATGACCTTCATCTGCTGCACATATTGAATAAGACATGCAGAACCCAGTTATGAAACTGCAACAGACTGTCGCTGAATCTTATAATTTTGAGTGGCGCCTTCACGCCCATCATGCATAGTCCTCTTCATCCGCTTGTTCAACCGTTGAGATCTGCTGTATTCATCATCTGCTTTTTACCGTTGGCGTCTTTGGAGATGGTCGCACTTTATAAACAATCCAAACTAAGTTCGACTAACCCCAAAGACCCCAACGGTAGAACAAGCAGATGATGATTACAAATATTTGCTCCAACATACAGTGTAAAATATATATATATATATCTATGCGGGTATTTTTCAATGTTCTTACCTCTGATGGTCGCTCCTTGTCGTTGGGGAGAGGCTTGCGTGGTTCGATAATTTTGAGAAAGATGTCGTCGGGAGTTCGAAACTTATGGTGGGAACATCTTGACGGCAAGGTCGAAGACATGCAGTATAAACCACAAATAAAACACAAATGTGCCTGAGAAGACGTCTGCAACAGGGATTAGCTAGCAGACGGATATACTCTGAAATGAGCGGCCATGTCGTGGACCTTGACGAGCTACCATTAAGTAAACATCGATATAACATGAAGTATTCTAATGGAATTGAAATGAAAATAAGTTTTGTTTCATATCTACGGTGGAGTAATGGATAGCGACTCGGGCTGAGGAATCGGAGGCCCGAGTTCGAATTCCAGTCGTGTCTGTTACATACGAGCAAGTACTTTTGGGAAAGGTATGAATCTTTCTCTTCTGGGTAAGTAGCAGGACAGACTGAGTCTTATAACCTTGAATGGCAACCGGTCTAGGAGAAACGAAAACTCTGAATTCATGATCAGACTGGTGAAAGTTGGGCTATCTTGCCCTGAAAACAACACTACTACTCTGACGACTCTAAATTCAAAAGCTCAAACTATGGGTTAAATAGCCCCACCAACCTGTAATTGGCCAAGTGTGGTGAGTACGTCTACACCCCTGAAGACATGGTCACTCAGGAGGGGGATTCCTCCAAGCAGTGAGAATACCCTGGATCTTTTCTAATGAGCTTTCATCCCTGATATATATATATATATATATATATATATATGGTGGAATACGGTGTGACGGTGGGGTATGGAGGAGTAATGGATAGCCAAATCGAAGATCCGAGTTCGAATTCATTACATTTACTTATGTCCACTCAGCATTGGGTAAATAGTAGGACAGACTGTATTCTATACCCTCGGGTGGCGAACGGTCGAGGAGAAGGACAACTGAATTCAAAACCTGCAGATGTTCGTTTGGAGATCCAGTGGCATACTATGCACCAGTTCCTTGTATTCAGCTTTTCCAAAAAGTGTGGTTGGTTCTATTATCAAATGATATGTGCGGATAGTATTACTGTTGGTTCTAAGAACTGAGTTGCTTGACTCTCATGCGTCGAAAACGACGGGAGAGTCCAGCAGTGTGTGTGTGTGTATAACATTTATAAATGACAGCGTTAAAAAAACAAAACAAACGGTCGGCCAGGGTACTGGAATATAACATTTTAAGGCAAGCAGTTTTTGTATATATATAGCTCAATATCAAGTGATAGAGCATTAATAGTAATAAATACAATTAAATATTCATTTATCTGAACCCTAGTCTGAGTTCCGTGATATAATTCTACAATCATGACACTTGAAAAACAAACAGTAAAAAAGAATTAAAAAAAAAACAAAACAAACTTTGACTGACCTGCTTTAAAACAGTATATTTTATTCGGGTTTGGATTTGGCAACTGACAGTTAACCGTGTTCGCAATGTCTTGAGGAAGAAGATCTCCGTTCTTGGAATCGGGAAATATGGACAACAAACCTTGGATAACAATGGAAAAAATTGAGATAAGGGAGAAAAATATCGGAACAAACGCATATATTTGCAGAGGAGTTTTAGCCTAATATTTTGCACTCTCAACGTTCTTCATGCAATCGATAAATACATCAATATACCCATGTTATTACACTATCTTAAAATCTTAGGCTTACGCACAGACACCATGGGATAAACACAGAATTCCCACAAGATTTGGAATAGTCTTGATCATCTGTTAACAGATCCCCTTAACAGAAGTGCGGGTGGTGTAATAGATAACAGCTCGGAATAAGAAATCGGAGAGCCGAGTTCGGATTCCAGTCGCGTTCGTCACATACCCTTGAGAAACTTATGAATACATCTTTTCTCCTATGGGTTAAATAGCAGGATATACTGGGTTCTATAACTTTGGTTGATAACCATTCTATAGATTGTGACATTGTAAAACCACCCATCTCCTAGAAACATGGGCTACACGTGGAGATGCATCGGCCCACAAAAACTGACATTTGTGGGTTGTGTATTCTGTCGAAAAGCGGAGAAAACGTTTTTCATTCGGCAGATCTCAGTAATTCAAATTTTGTGTGTAAAAACTGCGACTCTTCTTTTACTTAATTATTTAATTTACTTTACCAGTTATAGAAAATTTAGTATTGGAGATGAAGAAATTGAACAATGTATAGTTTTCCCTTTGGGTAGTTTTGTCCAAAACCTAACTGAACCTAAAAATTCGAGTCATGTCATTAAATAGCCTCGGCAGATCTAGACACTCACCTGGGTGTCATGCATGGCGTCCAGTTCGTTCAGAATTATCTCAACTATCAGCTATATACAACCATTTTCTAAGATCAATGATTAGAAATTGTTTCAAGCAAATGAATCCTCTAGGTCATAGAGAAGACTATTCTTCATCCCGGCGCTACAGAATCACAAAGAACGTTATCAAATGGCAAAAAGCCGCATCACTTGAAGACTACCAGGCTTATAACTATATCAAATTGAAATACTTGTTCTTGTAAGATCATCGAGGTTAAGCAACCTCAAGCCTGGTCAACACATAGATGGTTGACCGCTTGGGAATATCAGGTGCTGTAAGCTTGGATGTGCGGATAGTGTAATGGATAACAACTTGGAATTATATTCACTTGCGCGCAAATGCCCTTGGGGAGAAGTATGAATCCGCCTCTTCTCCCCAAGCTATGGGTTAATTAGTAGTTGTATCAGTAAATCATTATTATTTCCCAAAAATTCTTACAATCTAAAAATTTTCTGGATTTAAATAGCCTTCAAAAATTTTGAAAAGCCGTAAAAAAAACGAATCTATTAATCAATAAGACTCCCGACAGTAGCAACAGTTAAAACGCATAGCACATATAACTAGAAAGGAAAATGATGACATGTTCAAGATGTTGACCTTCTATGCTACTTTTGTGATGCCAACGAATACTCGTTGTCACTTTTGTAATGCTCATTGTAGTAGAGATTTTGTAATCGCAGATACAACTATAATACGCCTTTGAACAATACTGGTGTCAGATGCCTTCGAATAACTCGCACTAATAGTACTTGCTCGATAATACTCACTCGAATAGTAATCACCGTTTCGTAATCCAAATAGAGAAATAGTATAGTGAATAGAGTAGAGAATAGCGGTCCATATAGTAATAGAGGATAGACTAGAAATAACGATCATTTAGACGTCACGCTACTTTCTACGCGTTTCCTCTATGGTCACGTGTTCTACTTAATTCAATAACGGGATCGCCTGTGTTTGCTTACTAGCGGTCTATGTTCAAACTCAAGTGTCGGCAGCGATACTTTATTCCTACATAACAATTACCTTAAACAAAAGATTATCAAAGCAGTTCCGATCAGTAGTAGAAAGAGCGATAACAGTGAACTTGAGACGTGTAATTTCTAGAGAAACTGTTTTAAGAAAGAGATTTTATCAAATTTAATCGACGGCCATGCCTAACATTTCGGTCAATGCGTGTCTAATGTTTTCTGTATGGAAACAGTTAATCTCATCATTACCATTTTTTTTATTATACTTTTCAGAAAGAGAAGGAATAGATCAAAGTGAGATGCTAGAAAGACTGTTTCGTGCTAATTACTCATTATGAATAGAAAATTATTAATTCAATGTTTAACATTTAGAGGTGCTTTGAGTGATTTGTTATGCAGTGCAACCTCGGTTCTCGAATGTCTCACATGTCGAACAAATCGGTTTTTGAACAGAAAATTCGAGATGAAAATGTCTCGGTTATCGAACAACATTGCCGAACCGACTTAACCCGAAAGAAATAATTCCTAAATCGACTGCCGGGTTGTATACATTCGTGTGTTGCTGTGTGCTTTTCTTTTCCAATTTTATTGTACTGTGAACTTTTTTCTCTACATTGATTCCTACTGGAAAAATTGATTCGGCTTACGAACATTTCGGGTTACGAACGGCCTTCAGGAACGAATTAAATTCGTGAACCGAGGTTCCATTGCAAATAGTAAGTAACAATAATTTTGATTACCTTTAGTTCCATTTCTTAATCCTCTCATCGTGATTGAATTGGATCCATAAATCTGAGAAGCATCCAAAAAGTGGGTATTGGTATTTCTCTGTTCACGTGGGCCTAGAATAGATATAGCAACATCATTGGAATACTGTAAATTCTGATGACGGTTTTGATATATATATATATATATATATATATATATATATATATATATATAGAGAGAGAGAGAGAGAGGGAAAAAAGTGGGAGAAAGTAAAAGAAAGTGAGAGAGAGTGAGTTAAAGAGAAAGAGAGAGAAAGAAAAATTTATCTATCTATCTATCTATCTATCTATCTATCTATCTATCTATCTATCTATCTATCTAATTGTGTATTTAGGTAGCAATCCCTCTTTTACACGTTTCATTAAAGACTGACATTGATTAAGCTTTGTAATTAATTTTTCTTGTGTTCGTATAAGTATTTTCATTTCTGGATATAAAGTCTGTCAAAATTATCCACAATGTGCTGACTGAGTTTGAAAAAATAAAACATTACTGTAACTCTAGATATATATATAAAAACCCATACGCCAAGTTAAAAATAAAAATCATCCTCGATAATGGCTAAAAGAATAGCCGAAAGCGCTCGGATATAAATAAGATTTGAACAGTTTTTACACATTTATGTCCATTAAAGAAGAACACACACACACACACATATATATATATATATATATATATATATATATATATATATATATATATATATATATATATATATGTATGTATGTCCATTAAAGAAGAACACACACACACATATACATACATACATACATACATATATATATATATATATATATATATATATATATATGTATATATATGTGTATATATGTGTGTGTGTGTATTACATAAAATGTATCCGCTGTTAAATTTATTTATATCGCGCTTCTTTCTTTAGCCATTATCGAGGATATTTTTTCTTTAACAACTCTATATATATATATATATATATATATATATATATATATATGTATGTATGTATGTATGTATGTATGTATGTATGATTAATACAAATAAAATGTCTTACACAACTGATTGAAGTTATATTCAGCACCCCGAATCGGAAGTTTCGTAGATAAACCTTTTAGTAATCGCTCTGTCCACTCGTCAGGATTTTCTCATTTTCGTTATTTTTATATTAAGTTAAACATTAATTTATGCGCTAGTTATTGGTATGAGGTTTATTTTTCCTTTTCTGTGTGTGGATGTGTGTATGTGTATGTATGTGTTTGTCTTGTTATATATATATATATGCATACGCACTACTGTTCAATGAAAAAGAGCTCTTAGTTTCATTGAAAAAGGAATGGAATCGATTATCAAACTTTTGCGACGAATTGCCAAAAATTTGTAGTAATCAGGGCTAGAGTAGGATATTTTGACAAGGGTAAAATTTAATCATAAAATGTTTTTTTTCTTTTTGTCATAATAGAATTTCTGATAAAAAATATTGTCTTACCTTTTTTTACCATGTATAATAATTTTCTCCTATTTAAAGTATAAAACAACTACTTTTTGGGCCAATTTAAAAAAATTATCAGGAGCAGCCTGAAACTTTTGAACTGTCGTCTATATATATGATTAATACAAATATGAAGAAATATAGTCTTAAGATGTGCTATATTTATGGGGTAAAGTGCTCAATATCAGAGATAGAGCGTATGTAAATATAAAAGTGAACATTGAAATCAACACTCAGAAGCGACAGGCTGTTTTATACTAGACGCAATTGTCAGGCCGCGAGTGTTGTTTTTTTTCGCGACTATTTATATATATGGGTCAGTGGTGCATTGTGGGTAGTCCATTCTGGCGGTCATTTTGGCGGGAGCGGCTTGTTTATTTACTTATTTATTTATTTGGGTTAATTGATTTTACTTGTTTTTATTTATTTTCATATTTTTATTTTATATATTTATGACCCATATATATAAATAGTCGAGAAAAAAACCATCATTCGCGGCATGACGATTGTGTCTAGTATGAAACAGCCTGTCGCCTCTGAGTGTTGACTTCAATGTTCACTTATATATTTAATTAATACAAATATAATGTTTGTCACTTAGCTGATTGGTGTTACCTTCAGCATCCCGACTTCAGAGTTGAGTGCGCGCACGCGAAAGCGAGCGAGCGAGAGAGAGAGAGAGAGAGAGAGAGAGAGAGAGAGAGAGAGTCAACTAATAAATCAATTCCAAAACATTATTTTATCCTTTTCATGGCATCTGTAGTAGTTATTTTACTTTAAATCTCTTTGCGACGTGAGACCGACTCATATCAGTCTTGCTTGGTGGGAACGATCCAATCTGATTAGCCAAGTCGGCAGGCTTTCCTCTGGAAGAAATGAATTTCTTTTGTTTAGTTTAAATAAATACATCATTATCTTTCTTAGGCTGCAGAAACAGATGAGTCTGAGACCAATAATAAAGAGATTAAATTTTGTTTCGGATTTTTTTTGTTAGAATTTAATGTCAGATATTAGGAATATAATCGCATTTCTATTTGATGACATATAGGATTCTCTTCTTCACCAAAATGAATTTCTTGATTCTCATCTGCGAAAATTAGGTATCCGACTGGCTGATGTTTATGCAGACGACATATTTATACCTAGATGCAATAATTCCTAATACTCTAATGTTAAACAGGTATAATATTAATCATGCAGATGTATATGCTATCAAATGCGATGATCGATAATTTACAGAGAAATCAGACAAAATGATAACTTAATCGCCGATAGATACACCGGATAGATAGATAGATAGATAGATAGATAGATAGATAGATAGATAGATAGATATGAACACAATGAGATAAAAAGATATGAATACAATGAAATAGATAGGCAAATATAAATACAGATAGAGCGATAGATAGATATGAAGAGAAACAGATAGATAGATGGTAGATAGATATATATGAACATACTGAGATCGATAGATAAATAAATACATATGAACAAACTGAGATAGATATATATAAACAGACTGAGATAGATAGATAAATAGATAGATATAAACAGAGTGAGATAAATAAATAGATATGAACAGACTGACAGAGATAGATAACTGGATAGGAAGATAGATATGAACAGGCTGAAATAGATAGATAGATAGATAGATAGATAGATATGAACAGACGGAAATAGAGAGACAGATAGATAGGCAAACAGACATACACAGATAGATAGATAGATAGATAGATAGATAGATAGATAGATATAAACAGAGTGAGATAAATAAATAGATATGAACAGACTGACAGAGATAGATAACTGGATAGGAAGATAGATATGAACAGACTGAAATAGATAGATAGATAGATAGATAGATAGATAGATAGATAGATATGAACAGACGTTAATAGAGAGACAGATAGATAGGCAAACAGACATACACAGATAGATAGATAGATATAAACAGAGTGAGATAAATAAATAGATATGAACAGACTGACAGAGATAGATAACTGGATAGGAAGATAGATATGAACTGACTGAAATAGATAGATAGATAGATAGATAGATAGATATGAACAGACGGAAATAGAGACAGATAGATAGGCAAACAGACATACACAGATAGATAGATAGATATATAGATAGATAGATAGATAGATAATCATACTTAGTCTGCAGTTCAAATGTGGTGTACTGGTGGACCGGGAATATTGCATACATTTTCGATTATAAAACGAAAAGTACTGATCACTGACCGGAATTTCAATTGCCATGCACACAGATCTGCATAAAGATGGGAAACAGGTGAAAACTTTCGAAGTTACATGATACGCCCGCAATCAAACATATACAGCATACGCCCAGTAATCGAGAACAAATTATCACACAAAGAAATACAAAGAAGATGGCCCAGATGCGGTTACTCATGTGACTATATGACCTGATCAGGTGCGTTTTCTTCATGGTAGTTATCACATCCATGATGGCAGCTTAGTACGTGTTCTTGGTATTGTACGGACACTGGTTGGTCTCTCTCTCGATGATACACTCAAAACGAGAGGGCTAGAAAAAAATTATGGCTTCTTGTGGTTTATTGGTAATTCTTCAGGTACCCAACGCTGCATTATAGACGCTTATCATTTTGTAAATTTCTCCGTTCTCTTTCTTTATTAGGAGGCTTCTGAGTCCTTTTTATACCCGCCGGAACTATTTATTTTGTTTTTTTGCCATTTTCTTTTTTCTTCTCTCATTTTAATACTAAATCGTATTTTAGTTGTAGTTCATTGTTTCCTCCAAGACTGTTTGTCACTTTTCGAATTTCATTAATATTTTATTTAGGTTGCCAATGATTCTTTTTATGAATAGGTGTTGGCCAAAAAGGTTACCTTGCAGAAAAATGCGTTTTTGTTTGTTCAAAACAATTCACAGGTTTTGTGGTATCAAACATTTATATCTGCCATCCATTTGCTTAAGCCCGTTAAGTATGTCACGCCTTGCATTCAGTTGTCTATCTTTCCCTCTATCCGCCCCGTGAGTATCAGATTTTCTAAACCCTCTTTTCTTATTACGTATTCCATAAATTTCAGCTGCCTCTTCCTGATGTTAAGTATGAGTTTCCTTTTTTCCAAAATCTCTTCGTTGTTCACATGTTCGGTCCATGGTATCCTCAGCATCCTTCTGTATAACAGTACCTCTGCTGCATCGAGTCTCTACTTCATCTTTGAGGATACCGTCCAACATTCGCTGCCGTAAAAGAGGACAGATATCACGTAGCAGTTCAGCACTCTTTTCTCTGTTACCAACGAAACTCTCCTATCTCATAATACTCTTTTAGCTTTTGGAATGCGTCTTTGGCCATCCCAATATGTCTTCGGATCTCAGCGTCGCACTTACTGTCCTCTGTCAGAAAACTTCGTAGATATTTAAATTTCCGCACCTGCTTGATTTTAGCGTACCCGACCTATAAATCGTAATTCGGGTCCATCTTTTTTGATGATGACCATGCATTCTGTCTTCTTGTAGTTTATGCTTACTCCCCTCTTCTCGTTCTCTTTCGTTACCTTCTGTAAGAGGTTTTGTGGTTTCTTTTCCGTGTCTGCTATCAGCACAGTGTCATATAAATGTAGCCGTCTCTTCTACTCCAATAGCTTCATACCTCGCACCTCTCGCCTGTGGAACACCCTTCCCAATTACTATTTCCCTGAGAGCTATAATCTCCAACTATTCAAATGTAATGTCAATGGACACCTCCAGTTACCTTGATCTACCCACCATCCTTCTCCTCATCCTTTCTTATGCTGTTAAGATTGTGGCCGCCAATGGTGAATCCTGGTAGGCTTTCCAGATCTCTCAGAATTGCCTCGCTGTATAGGTTGAATAGGTCCGGTGAGAAGACACATCCTTGCCTTACGCCCGTTTCTATTTTTGTATATCTTCTGAACTCATTTTTTAAAATCTTTATGCAAGGGGTTTGTCGCCAATAGCGGTTTTTGGTTGTTCTAATGTCTTTTCTGAAAATGTCAAGGTTGCTGAGCAGCTCCAACAAACCTTTGTAGCATAGTCTATAAAACACAAGTGCACGTTCTTCTGCATTTGTATTGCTCTTTCTGATAACATTCTGAGCACGAATATCGCGTTGCTTGTTCCTGTGTCTTTAACGAACATTGCTCTTGTCCTATCTCTGGCCTGATTCTACTGCGCGCTCTATTCATCAGAATTCGGATGATGAGTTTTGTTATGTGGCTCATTAGGTTGAGTGTTCGGTGGAGTTCACATTCATTTGCGCTTGGTTTCTTAAGCAGTGCTATGAAATTAGATCTGCTTATATCTTCCGGTATATCCACGTTGTTGTAGATTTCATTTATTATTTCCGTAATCTTGTCTGTTCCCAAATCATTTAAGGCTATCAGCATCTCTGTTACTATTCCGTCTGGCCCTGCCGTCTAGTGTCTGTTCAATCTGGCCATTGCCGCTTCTATTTCGGTTTTAGAATTTTAGACCCGTCGGTAATTCTGTGTATTGCCGGTTGTTCTCTTTCGTCTTGGAAGAGTTCTCCAATATATTCGTTCCAGCGCTGAAGAATTTTTTCCTTCTCTAATATGAGCGTCCCATCCTTGGATTTTATGCGTCCTGTTGGCGAGCAAGTCTTTTGTCCTGTTAGTTACTTTATTTGTTTATGTATATCTCCTGTATTTGTGATACTCAATCTCTCTATTTTTGCACATTTTTTGTTTAGTTACCATTCTTTAGCCTGCCTGCATTTGGTTTTTATTTCGTTGTGTATTTTTCTGTATTCTGTTCCGTATCTTGACAGAGTTTTCTGTCGCCTTTGAATCATGGCGAGAATCTCATCAGTGAACCACTCATTTTTTACTTCTTCGTCCATTCTCCATTGGGATGATATCGTTTGCTGATGTCATTAAAGTTTCTCTTAGTGTGTCCCATATCGAGTTTCCATTTCCATTGTGTCCCTCGCATCTACTCTTTACAATGTTTATACATTTTCCTTCAGGTTCGGGTCACCCAGGAGATTGTTGTATTGCAATTTGGCACTTAGGTTATGGTAATACAGGTCGATTGTTTGCTCCAGGGTTATGGTATTACAGGTCGATTGTTTGATCTAATACAATCATTCCTGTCAAACTGTGAATTGAAGGTCGTTCTCAACGGATTCTCCCCCAGTTCCTATCCCACGAACGCAGGTGTTCCCCAAGGCTCCATTCTTGGCCCAACTCTATTCCTTATTTTCATCAACGACCTTCCTGATGCCATAGATTCCCAAGTTGGCATTTACGCGGACGACACTACAATCTACTCCTGCCTCAAAAACAAATCTAGTGTCGGTGACAAAACTAACCTGGCCGTGCATCTTGAAATGGACCTCCAATCGGTTTTTAATTGGGGCAAGAATTGGCTGGTCAACTTTAACGCCTCAAAAACTAAACTACTCTCCATAGAGATCCTTCTCTGCCCACCCCCATTAGAATGTCTGATAGTCAACTTCTTGAGAGCAACTCCCTGCGTCTTCTCGGTCTCATGTTGACTGCTGACCTGAGATGGAACAAATACATTGAGTCAATTGCTTCTTCCACCGCGAGGAAAGTTGGCTCTCTGTGCCGCGCCAGGAAATTTTTCTCCCCGGAATCGATACTTCAAATATATAAATCAACCATTCGCCCTTGCATGGAGTATTGCTGCCATATATGGTCTGGGGCACCTTCTGTTTACCTCGGAGTTCTTGACAAGATCCAGAGACGGATATGTAATATAATTAGCTCTGATCTGGCGTCTTGTCTACAGTCACACTCTCACAGACGCGCCGTCGCCTCTCTCTGACTTTTATACAAATACTTTCATGTTAATTGCTCCGATGAGCTGCTTTCACTGGTTCCCAGACTCCATGAATTCAAGCGCTCTACGAGGCTGGCATCCCGCTCCCACCCTTACACTGTAGAAACTTTTAAATGTAGCCGTCTCTTCTACTCCAATAGCTTCATACCTTGCACCTCTCGCCTGTGGAACACCCTTCCCAATTACTGTTTCCCTGAGAGCTATAATCTCCAACTATTCAAATGTAATATCAATCGACACCTCCAGTTACCTTGAGCTACCCACTATCCTTCTCCTCATCCTTTCTTCTATCACTCCTATCTGCTCTTGCTCCAAATCTTCTGCAACCTTCTGCACCCTTCACGCCTTGCTCGGGGCGTAATGCTTAACAAAAAAAGAAAAAGGTAGGTTTTGCAGCAAACCATTGCATTCCTGAATCTTTTGTTGATAGCTATGTAATCATTTGGTTTTTAGTTTCTCCTCGTAGGCCTCGCAATGTTCATAATCGTCTCGGGTGTTCTTGGAACTATTTGTCTTCTTTTTGTGGTCAATTTCCAAACCGACATGGGTATGACGATAAACTACATCCGGTAGCAACGCCTCTGATCCGGAGGCTTTGAGTAGCATAGAATCACCTCTTAATTGCTGTTATTCCCAGGTTCACCCTGACCCGGGGTGGTAGCACCTGTTAGGTTCCCAGCTATGGGCAAATAGTGACCCAAACTGAAGTCAAAACACTATGAAATACATTTTTATTGTGAAGATGACAGCAATATATTTTTATAGTAAAAAAAATAATAATAAAAATACCAGCAATACGTTTTTGTAAAATAAAAAAAAAATATTACCAGCAATATATTTTTGTAAAAGAAAAAATGCCAGCAATGCATTTTTGAAGAAAAAAGATTTTATCAACAATACATTTTTAAAAAAGACATTACTTATGCTCCCGAGAAAATTTAAACGTCGGCATTAAATGACCCATAAAAATGATATGACATTAAATGACCCATAAAAATGATATGCCATGAAACAAAACAAACAAACATATATATTCAAACAAGAAATTAAATAATAATAATAAAACAAAAATCAAATTGAATCAAATACCTAGATAAAAACAGAAATCAGTTTACGAATGAACTTACTTAATTGCTCTGGTCATAGTCAGGAGAATCTCGTATCCTTCTCGGGAGTACAGAGGGTAACGCATGCTGTACAACTGGAATCTGTGAAAAGACAAAGAAGATGAAGTGAAACTAACAACTTGAAACTGTTATTATTAAGACGAAATTAAGTATCACTGATCTGGTGAAACTTAAGAGCAAGTAAAATGAGACATTACCTCCACTTGTTTGCCAATGAACTTCAGCCAGCGAATACGAGAAAGC